CACACACACACCACCCACCCCAGGATCTAATCAAAGTTCCCACAGTGCATTTCATTGGTGGGACACCCTCTTTTGATGGCTCTGAATGGATACTGTGCATTTGTAACATGCTTAACCACAGTGTTTCACCTTTTCAAAAGATTTGACCCCATCTCATTATCTGGTCATTTGTTCTTATTTAGCAGGCCCTTCCTGATACAAATTCTTTACTCAAATTGCAGTTGTATCTAGGCCTATTGAGTGCCACTTCTGGACATTGATCTTGCTGCCTCTCCAGATGCAAATTGTTTATCCCTCCCATGGACCTTGTATTCTTCTATTTATAAAAGCTGCTTTGTTACCAAAGTCCTGAGAGGCTGAGATGGCCCTTTCCCCTCTAGCACACCCAAAAATAGAGTCATACATCTGCTTCTAAGGAAAATAGCCACTTTTTATTTAGGGACCTCAGAAAACAGGCATTCCGTTTTGTGTAGGAAAGGCAGAGAGGAACAGCAGCACTTCCAAAGTCAACTATGCTCCCAAAGACTTGAAAGACTTGGTTTTGGTCCAAAGGTAGTGATTAAGAGAATAGGAATTGACATGCTATTTGGCAACGCCAGTAAGGGAAGAGTTTATTCATACTTTGCATTCTTCCCAGTTTCTGTCAACTGAGTTAGGAGAAAAATTTTTTTTAATAATAAAAAAAAAAGACAAATCTGTCATTCTTCATTAACAGAGGAAATTCTTAGGAAGTAGCAAGGAGCTAATGTAGAAAGTGGAATTTGAGAGTAAAGGTAACTAAGGTTCTTTACCTCAATCACCAGAACATAGTGCTTTCGATTTAAGGATGTAAAATACATATAAGAAAAATAAAACTATTTTATAAATATTTAATTGCTTAGAGAAATTAAAAAAACATGGACCTTCTCATTGGTCAAAGGAATATGGGTATAATATGAGATTAGGGCATTTAAAACTTCCCAGCAAAATCAACAACAAAACTAACTTATATTTATTGAGCACCTGTCCGGTGCCAGGCATTCTGCCAGGGATGAAAGGTACAGAAATGAGTTACATGTGGTCCATTCTCTCAAGAACATTAATTCCTCTTTTAAAAAAAATAAAAGAGGTCTTTCATGAAATAGTATCCTTGACGCTTAAAAGCAAGTAGGACTATTAAATAAAATTATTTAAGAAGGGATCTTTTTGGTAAATACATGACCTGTAAAGTTAAGAAGAAACATGTAAATATGTAAAACTTCTCAAATTATAACATTTGGGGTGAAAAAATGGACTTTGAATCAGTCAGATGAAAACTGTCCAGTATTTTAATTAAATTTTAATTAAAAGCAAAACAAAGACCTTACTTTCAAATTGTGATAAGGATTATTGTGAACAAGTTAATATTCCCTTAATGGGGGTTTCTGTTATAGTATTAGATTTCAGTGTAAATATTTACATCTATTTTTCCTTTGTATGAATTGCCCTCCCTCATATTAAACTATTTCTTCCCTTATTTTGTTCTTTTGATCATACAGAGATATTTGTAACTTACTTTCTTAGTAGAGATTTTTTTGTGATGAGAATATAAAGTTAAAGCCAAATACAAATGAAAAACCATAGCAGTTTCTTTGGGGCTACATTAATGCGTGGTGATTTATTGTAATTCTTTGAGAACTGACTAATTAGAACTCTGAGTGTAACTTTATAAACACTTTCTTGAGGTATTGTACGAACCATGATTTCTTTCCCCAATTCAAAAAATGACTCCTCATTATAAGGGGGGGTCTTATGTCCAAGGCATTTTGAAAGAAACTCAGAAAGGTATGTGTGTTTGCAACCATTAGGTTATAATTCATCTTTCTTTGTTACTTTGGGAGGATCAATCATGTTTGATAAACTGCTGTTTGCTGTTCCGTAGGCATAGGTGTGAAGTAGTACAGTTCATGTTCTTGGAAGTGCACTATTAAATCATATCAAAAATCATTACAAATACTGTGATGTGGCCACTCACTGAATGAACCCTATCACCAACGAAGATGACCTGAAAAAATTCTAAATCGTTTCAAATTCCAGAAGAGCGAAATTGTTTATTTCTTCTTCCTTTCAGTATAGATTATGCTCTTGTTGACATTACTTTCTTCCTCCAAACCTGCATAAGATTTCTTATTCAGATCAGGCTGAACATTATAGAAATAGAACAGGCTCTACGTGGCTATCCAAAACCATGTGTTATGTCTTCCGAAGTTCTGGGAAAGTTTTTGGGGATAGCAAGTTCCTGTGGAATTTGACTTAAGGCGAAGTCATGAGTCCTTCTGCACTCCAGAGTGATAGGGAGTCTACAGCCCGGGCCATTTTGACTAGCCATTCCGTGGGACACAGAGCAAGGATTTGTAGCTGGGATTCGTGCACTCCCAGGGCTTGCAGGGCTCCACGAACTCTCTACAATTATGTGTATGTGTGTTCTTCTCAGGAGTAGATGCACGGCTTTCATCAGACTCTGAGAAGGAGTTTTATCCCAGTTATGAAGCACTGACCTACATCCTGGAATTCAGATACATGCTGAAGGAAGGAATGGCTGGGGAGAGAAATGATCATTCCCCTCTCCTCTGCCCCTTCATCAGTCAGAAATCTGCTCTTGGCAGGGGAAATCTCGAAGGAAATTTTCTTTTCTTCTCCCCCCTCAACTGACACCTTTTATGTCTTAGGGTGCTACTAGTCCTCATGGAGACAATGCCGTTAGACCCCGTGATCATTATTCTGAGCCTGCCTTTCTTTTCCTTTTGTCTGAGATGGTGGTGATTCCTGGATTGGTTTTTAACTTAGCAACATAAACTCTCTCCTTTTATCCTTTCTTTTGCACAGAGACACAGTTGTTTTTCTGCCTGTGCAGTCAGACCTCTTTCACTCTGCCCTCCCATAGATGTTGGCATCTGAATGGTGGAGTTTCAGAAATTTAGGAGTCCTTCTTTTGTAGAACTAAATGCCCAGGCTCCTTTCTTTTGCTAGAGTCTTATCCATAGTGCCCCATTATTTCTACTTCCATTTCTACAGGCAGAAAGGGAAACTGGTGTGTGGAGAGGGAATTTCTAGCCAATGAAAAATTCTTCTAAGTGAAAAGCAGTTGTCCTGTGTTTTATTTGCCCACTTCTCTTTAAAGTCAAGCCCTTGTCCCAGTAGCTTTCACCACAGTGAATTTTCTCTTGTGCCTCAGTTCACCTTACCTCCCTCTTAACTGGCGAGGAGTGGAGAAGACCACAGCATCACTTGTCCCGTGAACACCCTGCTCTTTTGCAGGTTCATAGTGGAGGAGAAGGAGCCCCGCTCCACTGTGAATTAGCCAGTGTGAACCCCCATGATGATTTTTCTCCTTCTTGTTAAGAAGGATCTTTCTTGTTAAGTAGATCATGATCCTACTATTTATGTTTTACTTTTTTTTTTTTTTTTTAACTTTTTTCACCTCACATACAGGACTTCGCATAGGCAAGAAATGGTGCTCTTTATAGAAACCTAATTCCTATCCTCCTTCTGGACTTTTTGGAAAGCTTTTCAATTTGAAATTTTAAAATTATTATTATTCTCCTTCCATCCCACTTGTTGCCTTTTTATCATTTATGATAAAGCCAATCTTGGCCCCTGCTGCCTTTCTCAGGCCAAGATGATTATAGTATGTTCAAACACTATCATGTCTTTATCTTGTTTCCCTTCTTCTTGTCACAGTATTATGTTCCATCTTTGAAGAAAACCCAGATATTCAAAAGTGAAACTTTTTTTCTAGAGATGGTACAGGCTTCTGTCGGCCGACCTTTGTAAAAACTCTAGGTCAGATTCCCTGCAAATGTTTGGTTTCCATGCCTAATGCTTAAACATTGGAAACCAACTGATGAATTTGAACAAGTGAGTTTGTTAATCATTCTGGGAAATGGGATTCCTATTTCTTTCTTAAATTATAACCCATGATAACTCACTAGGCAAAAAACTTCATCACAACTTCAGGTCATGTGATACAACTCTGTTTCTAGTCATTAGAGATCTTTTCAGAAAAACAAGCTTATTAGCTAGTAATTAGGGAAATTTCCTATGGGAAATTTTCACCCTTTGGAAAATGGGTTTTTTAATCCAATCTTTTAAAATTCAAATGTTTAAAAAAAATTAAATATTACCACTGAATAGAGACATGATGTATCTGTAGCATAATTATGAACAATGGCTGTTGATTTTTTTAAAAATTATCTTCTTTAAAAATTAAGGACTGAAAGGGGCCGGCCCGGTGGCACAAGTGGTTAAGTGCGCGCGCTCTGCTGCGGCGGCCCAGGGTTCGCCGGTTCAAATCCCAGGCACACACCGACACACCGCTTGGCAAGCCATGCTGTGGCGGCGTCCCATATAAAGTGGAGGAAGATGGGCACGGATGTTAGCCCACGGCCAGTCTTCCTCAGCAAAAAAAGAGGAGGATCGGCAGATGTTAGCACAGGGCTGATCTCCTCCAAAAAAAAAAACAAAAAAGGACTGAAAGGACATGAACCAAAGGGTTAACTGTGATTATATTTGAACAGCAGAGCTATGGGTAATTAATCTTCTTGCTATTCCTCCAAATTTTCTTTAGTGTATATTATTTTAAAATGGAAAAACAATTAAACTATCCCCGTAAAATTTCTCTGTTTAGCGCTTGCCTTACAAAAATCAAAGCCAAATGTCTAAAGTAGGGAGTGGCAAACTGTGGTCCACAGGCCAGCACCTATTTTTGTAAATAGTTTTATTGGAACACAGTCACCCTTGTTTGTTTATATATTGTCTATGGTTGCTTTCAAGCTCTTAGTGGAATTGAGTATCATATGGCCCTCAAGCCTAACATATTTATTATCTGATCCTTTAAAAAAGTTTGTTGACCCTTGTTGAGTTTATGAAGCAATTGGCAAGAGTATTTTTAAAGTTGGCAAATTTTTTAAAACTTTGCTAATAACACCACATTTTCCTTTGCAGCCCAAACTAACAATGGCAAAATGCAGGCGAAATGTGGAGAATTTCCTAGAAGCTTGCAGAAAAATTGGTGTACCTCAGGTAATAAATTTTTTTATGTTGCCTAAGTAGATTTGGGTGTTATTTTCCTAAAATCTTCCAGAAATACAAGTATTGGGCCAGCCCAGTGGCATTGTGGTTAAGTTCACACACTCTGCTTCAGTGGCCCAGGGTTCCCAGGTTCGGGTCCCAGGCGCAGACCTGCATACCGCTTATCAAGCCATGCTGTGGCAGATGTCCCACATATAAAGTAGAGGAAGATGAGCACAAATGTCAGGTCAGGGCTAGTCTTCCTCACCAAAAAAAAAAAAGAAAGAAAGAAAGAAATACAAGTATCTAAAATCTTATAGGACTAGGTCTGAACTAAGTTGATAATTACTAACATGATTTTGTGTTACTAGAGTCAATCAATATATTTTTGAGGAGTTTTCCTTAATTATTTGCAAGGACCAAGCAAAGAAATCATACACATATAAATTTAAATATATTGTAATAAGTAATTAATGCTAACTAATCAAAAATAGTTATTCTGATATTTTCCTTAACATCCTCACTTGCTGTTTGAGACACAACTTCGTATACAACAGAGTCAGTGCTTCAAAATAAGTGCATCTCAGACTGAGAATGCTTCAGTTGGCTTCAGTTTTTTAACACTTGCTTTAATACTTTTTAAAAATGTTTATTTTGAAATAATTTTAGACTTAGAGAAACATTGCAAAAATAGCACAGAGAGTTACTGTGTACACGTCCACTAGATTCCTCTCCTGTTAACATCTTACATAAACAGCACGTCATCCAAACTAACAAACCCTGGGACAGTGCTGTCCACTAAATTCCAGACTCTCTTCATATTTCACCAGTTCTTCCAGTAAGCTCTAATACTTGGGAATTGAGCACACAGAGGCCATTTCTAGGCACTTGTCCTGCTACTGAGATTTATTGCCTCCAGGCTCCTCAGTTACAGCTTTATTACCTTTTAATAGTACAAATAGTTAACCTTTATTTATAGATGTGATTAAGGGACATGAACTTAATACAATTTTTATGCAATTATTCTTTTAAAAAACAATTATGTTAAACTAAGCATGGTACTCTTAAAAAATGTATTTAGTGATATGATGTATAGATAAATTTAAAGAAATAAACAACTTGGTGCCATTTGATACTTTTTCATTAACTACAATCATTACAGTTCTTGTCATCATATTTTGTCCAACTTTTAACGAGAAAAATATGACTCTTTTCTCTGACCTTCTTAATTAGCTGTCAGAAACCCAGGATTGACCCCTGCACCCAACAACTCGACTGTGTCTCTCCAAGTTAAGTCCTTGTCCCAATAGCTTTACGACAATGACTGTCTCTTTACCCAGTTCACCATTCCTCTCTCTTAACTAACTGTGAGTTGAGAGGTCACAGCATCACATGTCCAGTGAGCAACCTTCTCTTTCAGCTCTTTCACATGTTACAAAGTAGACGAGAAAGAGCCCAGCTCCACAGAGCATCTGCATTAGCCAGTGTGAATTCCCATGATTGTTTTTTCTCCTTTTAATAAGTAGATTGTGATTCTATTTATTTTTCACTTATTTCTTTTGCGTGTTTTTTTTAAGCTGAGTTATAATAGAACTGAAATTTATATTTAGTTCTAGTTAACAAGGACCTTTTTTGTTCCTGTGGACAAATTCAAAGCAAATTTTTCATTTTTTTATTATATTGTTTTCTAAAGCCTTATCTCTTTTAGAACAAACCATTTTTAAACATATTAAGAGAGCATTAATAAGGTTTCTAATCAAATAGCATGCATTTCTGCATATTAACAAGCAAGTTCTTTTTTTTTTTTTTTGAAAGTGGAAATTGTATTTATTTATTTATTCATTTAATTAATTTATTTATTTTTGGTGATGAAGATTGGCCCTGAGCTAACAGCTGTTGCTAATCCTCCTCTTTTTGCTTGAGGAAGATTGTCCCTGAGCTAACATCCGTGCCAGTCTTCCTCTATTTTGTATATGGAAGGCCTCCACAGCATGGCCTGATGAGCAGTGGGTAGGTCTGCGCCTGGGATCCAAACCTGTGAATCCTGAGCCGCCGAAGCAGAGTGCGCGAACTTAACCACTACGCCACTGGGCCGGCCCCTAACGAGCAAGTTCTGGTGCTCATATGTACACGTTAACATTCAGTGCTTCCCTCCTGCCTACTGAGATGTTCCTGCCTGGTCATCACATTACACAAGCATGCCCAGTGCCTGCCCAGTTCCATGCCACAATGTCTTTGAACAAGAGAATGAGGCATGGGTTGGGGATGGAATGGGAACCAGAGAAAAGAAACGAATGATTAAAAAAGGCACTGCGTACCTGCAGAGAAGAGTGCCGAAACAGCCCCACACAGCAGGACAGGCCAGCACACTCAGCCTCTATCAGACCTCTGAAAAGTACTGTTTACCAGTGTTTGTAGTCATTATACCTATATTCTGGGCTTTACAGACCATCATGTGTCTCAGATTTAAAGTCCATACCCTGAAATTTCTTCAGAACGTACCTGCTATCAGTCAGCAAAATACAAAAGCAGTGTGCCTTAAAGCGTGCACTTAATTCACCATTTGGCAAGCAATGGTTAACAGTATTTATTGTGGGCCAGCCTGCCCCTGTTCATACCAGAGCTTAGAAAAAATACAATTTTAGAAGACTAGGTATTTTTCCAGGGTGGTAAGACCAGGGTTCCTGACATGTCCTTCCGCCCTCTCCCTCTCCACCACCAGAAAGAGGAAATGGACATTCCACACAGGCCACCCCTTCCTTCTCCACTTCTGCCTTCCACCCAAGGCTCGACCACCACCACCACTACCACTTTAGATGGGTTCCTGTTATGCTGCTACTTCTGCTAAAAAATTAGTCAGTTGCCTAAAACAAAGTGAAGGAAAATGAATAAATATGAACTCATAGGTTGAAACTAGCATTCTGAAGTCCCTCTGCCAGAGGAAGAAGAAGAAACCTAACCCTCCTCTTCTTCCTTTGTTCTCCCCTACTTTCCCTAAATATCCCCACTTGCTCTGTTTGACTTTAAAGGAAATCAGGGATGTAATAATGATCACTTCTGAAAATGTATAACATAAAACTTAATATTGAAAGATTTTTCAGATTCTATGTCCAGAGACTATGTATAAAGGTGAACAATTTCCCTTCTCAGTATTCTCACTTTTTAAAGTGTTTACAAGTTAAATTATAAATGAAGCACTAAAGAATAAGGTGACTGTTAAAAATCTCTGATAAGGTTGGGCATATGGGTATTCTCTTTATTATTATGCTTTTATCAAATATATGGTACATTAAAAAAAACTATGATAAAAATTTCTATTTGAGTCCAATATCTTATGTCCTAGAGTCATTATATGTTATGTGTTAAGTAATGTTTTCCTGTTATCAAGTCCAATAATGTTTTTATTTATTTAATTTCTTACTCTGGGAACTGGAGGGTTGGATGATCTCCAAGGCTTATAGCTCTAGGTTCATTCTGTCCATGTTAGCACACTGGCCTTGGTTTAGATGGGCTGGACCTGATTTTTAGAGGCACACCAATCCTTCAGTACATCTCCTGCCGGGTAGTACATTTCCCTGATTATTAGGCTTTCCTCAGTCTTTGAACCTTCTCGATTTACCTGGCTTTCTCTGCAAATATCCTCTCCTCAGCCCACCCCAGGTTTTGTCCTTGCTCTCTGATCAGTCTTCTCTTGTTAATAGGGAAGAATGAGAGCTGAGGAAGAGGTTTCCTCCTGAGGACCTCACCACTCTCAGGCCCCTCACAACCTTAGGCCAGCACCCAGTTCTGTTTCCCGTGTCCTGGGTGTTCATACTAGTCGCCAACAAGCCAATTTTATTCTGCTATTGAGTAGGAAAATCAAGCTTAGCACATAGAGGACTCTGTAGTTTTGTTTTTTAGCATTTTATTTTCATTCAGCATAGTAAAAAGTGTTACAAGATGTGTTTCTTTGACTATGACTGAGATGATCATGCTGAATTCTGTACTCAAGTCTGTGTTTCTGACCCACTGACTCTGTTTTTCTGTTTTCCTTTCCTGCTCACACTTTGGACAGGACAATCTTTGTTCCCCTTCTGACATCCTTCAGCTAAACCTCAGCGTTAAAAGAACTGTTGAAACACTACTTTCTCTTGGGGCACATTCAGAAGAATCCAGTTTTGTCTCTCTGTCTATCCAGCTTTTGGGTTTTGTGGCGTTTTATTGTACTTTAATGTTAACTCTCTGTATGCTTTATTACTGGGTCTTTCCCCTCTAGGTGAAAGATTGCATTCCAGTGATTTTCCACCTCATTCCTATGCTTGGTAAAGGAGGTTTGTTTCTCATTCAGAATTATTTATGAGCTTTTTTTTTTCCTGGCCATCAAAGAACTAACCAATAAAGTAGATAAATCCTTTCCTCAGATGTTCAGCTGAGCAGCCCACCACATTAGTAAGCATTTATGATTGCTAACAAAGAGTGAAGACCAGCATTTTTTCTCCTGGTCATTGGTCCATCCTCTTGGCCTGTGGCCTTGTTTCTCTTATCATAAATGCTAAAGTGTTTCTACTAATACAGTCCTGAGCCTGTTCTTAGAATATGACTTTAGAACTTTATTTCCAAATGAGCTAATAAAATTCCCATCTGGCCATTTTCCATTGCCTCAACACAACTTATGTGTTGAAATTGTGAGAAGTGTTAAAATTGTGAGTTGCTGAACCTTTTCAACAGCTGCTCATAAGGAAATAGTTGTACCCTTTCTGGTTTGGGGGCACCTGGTCCCGTAGAACTCTGCACTGAGCTGTGCCCTGAAATCCTGAATCTCCCTTTATGGGTAGGTCCACCTAAGCATTTGCTGTCTGGACGTGTGGAAGGCACTGGCTATTTAATTTCAGTAATCTCAATTTGATCAGAATGTTCAGTCCAGAGATCAGGCAGTTCCCTGGATTGCTCTTCCAAGCCCAGTGTGTACAAATAAGGTAGTATACACCAGGCAGGTGGTGTGGAGCTGGCCTTTCAGGAGGGGGCGCCTGTCCACATTTACTGTCTGTTCTCTTTAACTGAGCTTCACTTCTAGAATCCTATTTAGAATTTAAAATGGGAATTTATGTAATTTCCCATATTATTTAAACCATCTTAATGAACTTGTATTTTATAGGCTGTTGAGGAGATTATATCTGAACAGTAGCAGGGAAAGCATGTCAGCAGTCTCTGTTCTGTCCCCAAGGTAATGAATATTGTCCCTTTCAGAATGCTCAGTGTATTAGCTGCTTGAAACTACTTTATCACTGCACTCGATTCTAGATCTCATAAACATGTTTCTGAAGAGTCAGGAATCTCCTGAACTCTGTTAACAAAATTGGACACCTGAACTCAGGTATGAAGGGAGATTGCAAGGACCATAACATCCTGTGGGAGAGTCAGCCTGGGGGTCTGATGGCTTTGGTTTTCTTCCATATTAAATGGGACACTTACTTAACACATTAAAAAACTTTACTGTTAATGATGAAACACTGAACACTGTGTTGAAAACTTCAGTTTGGTAGAATAGTAGTGCCTTCCAGAATTTGGGGGGTTTTGGTTTGTCTTGTTTTTAAGATGTCTCTGGCTCAGAGATCATTCAGTTTTGTGGAGTTTTGTCTTTTTAAAAAACACCTGATAAAAAACACATGCTGTTGTGTGTGGTTTTGGGGGAGTAATTGCGCATTCTCTTCAGAACACACAGTGCTCCCTTTAAGCCAGCTGGAAGGTGAATGTGCATCTGGAGAGCATGAGCGTCTGAGAGAATGTCTGAGCCTCTGAGGGAATGTCTACTCCGGGCCGCAGAGGTCGCAGGGCACCACAGAGGAGAAGAGATCAGGGAAGTGGCCTCGGAGAAAATCTCTCCCAAAAGCAGAACCCCCTGCAGGTTCATTTTAAGTCATTAATCAGTGCTTGCAGTTGTACTCAAAGTATTTATACAAAGTTGCTAGTTTTATAAGATCAAAAGATTGCAGTTACCTTGATTTATCAAGATAAATATTAAATAGAATTAAGAAGCACAAGTACTAATAACTGCTCAAAATAAATACTTGCTATATTTTTTATTGCAACTGGTTTTGTAAAACTTCATAATGAGATAGTAAGTGCCAATGAAAAGCTGAGAAAAATACAGTTATCTTCTTTAATAAATATGTGTAGTCTCTTTTTTCGTGGAACCAGAATTCCACTTTCTGTCCTTTGTGAGAGCAATCTCTTTTCTTTCTGAATATTTAGTCATAAAAACCAATGATAGGTGTTTTTCTTAAGATATGCCTTTTTCTCTAAGAAAGGATTAACCAAACAAATTAATGAGGCAAACAAGATAGAAGTATTTAATTTCCTTAAGCAAACAAGTAAACACTTCAAATATATAGTAATTAAGATGTTCCTGACTAAACTTATAACATAGTTGTCCAGCATAATTTAATCCATTAAATACTAGGATATGAAATACTTTACTTTTTCCAATACAATTTCTTTTTTTTTAATTCTGTAATTCAGACTTTTGACTAGTTCAAACTGGGCCTTCCATGAATTACCCAAAGTAGGGGAAAGTTTCTCAAATACATCTAAATCTCCAGGATACACTTCTGTTTCTTCCTTTGACCCCTGCCTGGTGTGAGACCCCTGATTTTCACAGTCAGGATCGTAAAGCAGATAGTGGGCATCTGTCTCGCACAGTTGGAGTCATAGCAGAAAACCATCTTGCGTTCCTACAGTATGTAAATTTCTGAAGCGCTTTCTCCTACAATGTTGTATCTCTCAGACTTGAGCCGTCTGGTAACTTGGAACTGTTTTTCTGGTTTCACCTGCCTCGTTTTACTGATCTGCATTGCTCTTTTATTTATCAGGGATGAAGGATGTTGCCTTCACTCCGTAGTATTCTGTTTATCCTGTGTTGTATGTATAAGTGTATGTAACTTGTCCATTTTTCAATTTTCAAAATGATCTGTATGTATTTTAGTTGTATTAATAAAGTGACAGTGAGTGTCAGAGACCATCTCTGTGTAACTCATATTAACAGAGGCCAGTTTCCCAGGTACTAACTTTTCACATCTCAGTTGATTATTATGAGGGAGAGAAGAGATGCTTATTTTTCCTTTTCAGTTCTGTGATGTTCATCCTATTTTCTTTTTTGTTTGTTTCTATGTTACGTTGTCCCATTTCAGGATCAATTATGTTTGCCTCTCCACATTTTAGAAGAGAAAGGTTTGAGCCAGGTTGCAGTGACGGTCCAGGCTCTCCTGGAACTGGCCCCGCCCAAGCAGCAGCAGCACCAGTTATCTGCTGTGTAAGGACTCCCAGCACCTCGGGCGTTGGCCTGGCCCAAACGGAACAGGACAGCGTGACTGCTGCTGCCAGCCACCTGCTTAAACAGAGCTCTTAAGTGTTCTTAAAAGGGACTGTTTCCATGATTCCTAACAGGAATATTTTGCTTCATTTCTCCATTTTAGGGGAGGTTATATCTGTTTCCTTTGAATTGTTTATGAAGACACGGTTGGTTTTCACAAATGAAACAATTCTGTCATTACTGAGATCCCAGCACTAAAGCCTAAACTGGCTGTGCCTTCCGAGAGAGTAGGCTTGTTTCACATACCAGAAAGAATATCTTCTCAGAAGGATATTTAGCTCTCTTGAAGGCACAGACATGCTATATTATCCTTACCCGTTTCCAAGACCTCGAGAGTCCACTGGTTTCTAAACCTGGTTGTTCATTAGAATCTCCTGGAGCATTTGTTAAAATACAGATTCGTGTTCACTAGATCCAGAGTGAGGCCTGGGTATCTGCATTTTCACCAAATATTCCAGGTGTTTCATATAATGGAGACCACTGTTCCAAGCTAGATATTTGTATGATTTGGGGGAGTAATGACTCCACTGCATTTTTCAGCCACATTTATAATCAAAAACTGTATTATGACTACTTGGACTGTTCTGTCCAAGGCAAAACAAAAATAAGGTAGAAGGCCTACATTTTGCATAGTAAAACAATGAAATAGATACATCTGTATTTAAGGCCAGTGTCTTAGGCTTACCCCCAACTCCAGTTCACCTCCACTTAGAGGATGGTTCTGTGTGTCCTCCTGCTGTTATCTCAGCATTACAAACAGGCACTCCACACACCGGTTCCAGATCCTTAGGCTGGTGGCAGACGCTACTCAGCATCGTTTGATTAGTCACTTCACTGAGCCTCCTCCACCCCAACGCTGCTCCCAGGACACCTGGACCTGTGAACACTCTCCAGTCACAGCAGATACACTTCCAGCTCCCCAGCTAATGGAAGATTATGAACACAAAGCAAAAGGAAGAAGGGAAAAGCCAAGATTCTTATATTTCTTTCAGGTAACTGCTAATTCCTGTGGCTGGATTAAAGCCCTGTGGCATCTTAAAAACAGCTTGCTGTCTTCATGTAGCCCATCTGGCTCCACCACTGGTGCCTTATTTACTCAATTGTGGGTGCAGTACGAGGGCCCGAGGCCTCACCCCACACAAAGCCAGGAGCCTTTATTCAAGTTTAAGCCATTTGGGTCTTTCTTCCCCTATATTTTGAACCCCCTTGAGTTGTCAGTGAGATCTGTTGGTATTCACTGCCTTTGTAAACCAAGTAAATAGAGTAAGTGAAGATACTAGTTATCTAGGTTTTTTTCTGTTGTTAACTGTTCTGAATTTTCTTTACCAATGCATGCATTTGAACATGTTCTCTCTTTTTATCATGTAAATGCATCTAATAGTAACTTTGGATAAAATTATGTTGAGTATCTGGTCAAAATAATGTTTTTCTCCTATTCTCACAGGGTAACAAGTTCATCAGAACATTACCACTTTGTCCAAGTTTAAAATTATATAACATAAAACATCTGAGCTCAAAGCCTAATCCTTCAAGGTCCTCACAGAACAAAAGTAAAATGTCTTCTAAGTACTTAGAGCCAGCCCCCATTATATTTACAGTTCCAAACAGACCCCCCATGTTTAGAATTTAGCTGTGTGTATTTTTAAACTATAGGTATGTTTCCTTCTAGTTGACATTAAACCTCAGTACAATCTCCAAATTATAGAGAGCCATTTGAAATGCAAGTCAGCAAAGGACAGACTGTTTGTCACATGTTATGCAAGGAATAATCCCAGAAGACATACATAATGCAACACATGGGACATTTGCAACTAATTTTCTCATAGGAATAAATGGGAAATTTCAACCTATTTCAGATTTTATACATAGCATGAAACCTTTTTAATGTGTTTTTATCACACTAATTCAGATTTATATTTGATTTGTTAGAAAAAATTTGTGTACAGTTTTGGTTGATAATGAAAGACAATTATCAAATATATTGAATTTCTTTTCTGTGCCAAGATGCAAAAACAAATCATGATGTTTTTGTTGGAAAATTTTTGTTCAGAGTTTTGTATGTACCTTTTTTTTTTAACTGGAAAGAAGATTTAACATTTAGCCTTGCTAGACTCCAGTGTGAGATGAAGATGACTGTGGAGCAGTTTCACCTGACCGTTTATGAGCTTCCTACTGAAGCCCCGACGTTCCAGTGCTGAAGTGTGAACAGAGAAAAGGCCAAGTGCCTGCCCACTAGGACCCCTCCAGACTACGGAGATTTTAAGTCAGCAGGTTACCAAGCTTCCAAACTCATACACACTTAGCAGTCCAAACCAGTCTTCTCTGGAAACAACTCATGGGAGGAGGGGCCTTTAGATTTGGCCAGAACAGGGTAGAGGGCTTATTATAGGTCACTTCCTTTAATAGCTTTTTAAAATACAGCTTGACACCTAAACAAGGAGTCAGATTTCTCTTACTTGCTCCAGGTAGTAGTGACTAATGATGTGTGACTATGCTCATGAGTGTGATGAATTTTTAAAAACTAAGTGCTTAAATGGTTATAGAAATGAAGGAAAATATGGATATTTAGAAACCTTTTTATATACATATTGCAGTGAGATGGTTTACAGCAGATTTCATTTTGTTTCTGAAAATGTTGTAAACATGTAATTAGTAAAAGATTTTGTAAAACATTGTCCTATATTTGTATGTCTGTAAATATAATGCATAAGTTCTAAGTATAAATATGTCAATATCATGTATGTTATTTTAAATCGCCTGTATGCCACCTTACACATTGACATTGATAAAAGCCAGCACATCAATAGCATGAAATAAAGGCTGATTTGAAAATGTTCATACCTAAAGCATGGTTTCCTTGGCATAAATGAAAAACTATCTCATTCCCTGAAGGAACATCAGTAGAAACTGGGTCATCATAATAGGCACTTGTGGTCAAAATGTACTTTTTAAGGAAGTATAGAAATCAGTATTGCCCTGAGTTTGGAGTTAGGTATAAGGCTTGATTCGTGAAATACACGTGACATATTTGGACAGCTGTCTCTCAGAAATTACCAAGTGTGCTCTAGGGAAAGCTTTAGCATCCCAAGACGTTCTATTCTGATTAATCAAGACAAGAATGACCCAGTGGGCTCACTCTTTTTGCACGGAGAGGGAGAACAATAATCGGCTCTATGTGCCAGGCACAGGTTAGGTATTTTCACATGCCTTACCTCTTTTAGTCTAATACCTGAGAAGGTGAGAATTGTTGAGTAAGAAGAGCAGTGTCTCACTTATCAAAAGTATCTCCAGGTAGTCTTCCAGCAGACCTGTGTCCCCCATCTTGACTATGTGTGGGCTGTGTATCCTCACATCTCATTTCTATCTTATTTATAATTTATATCCCTACCTGTTTCCCAGAAAAGGAGCTGAAGCAGCTTATAATATATATATTCCATGTCACCATCCTCCAATAAAAACACTCAAGTGATAAGTCTAAGAGGTAGGAAGAAACCAACATTTATGAAAACTTTACTGTGTACATATTATGCTAGACACTTTGTAAACATCATCCTGTAATTCCTACTGAACATTTCACTTTTGCTCAAGAGTTTTTTCACTATAGACAAAATTAGAATCAGAGACATTACAGGAATTGATTAAGTTTTAATGCAGCGCTGTAACTAAGTCCATGAACTTTTTTCTGGTAAGAAAGCGAGAGGAATCTTCACGAGGCTCCTGGAAATACTTCCCAGCAAAATTTTTTCAAAATATCAAGAAGCCCTAAATTGATGGTATAATCCCAATTCAGGGTTTGAATACTCATATAACAGGTAAAGTGACATAACCAGGCCACACCTGGGAATGTCCAAATAAGCAACAACCTGTAGATGAGTGTCTGTGATGGTCAAGTTTCTTACTCCCTTCAAGCCCTCCTTCCGTCTCCAGGATACCGGAGGAAAGGACCTACGGTGACTCGCTCACTTCTTGCCTCTCCGCTTGTCCTTGCCTTTACCTTTTGAATCCTTGCTATCATCTATGTCTTTCCTAGGCATTCTGAAACCACCAATTTCATTCCGTACCACAGTGCCTCGCCACCAGGCCTGGAGCTGGAAGAGAAAGGGCAAGTGAGGACAATTTATAGTATGCCTGAGAAGCTGTGTTCTCTACATAAGGGATTATTGTTTTTTGATGAAGTCACTTCTGCCTGAAGAATGGTCTCTGTCTGAGATGTGGAGATGGCCAAGCCTGCTGTCCCTACAGCACTGCTCGCTGTCGTGCAGGAAACAGAGGTTAAGCCATGGACTCTAGAGTGAGGTTCTCAGAGTAAAAATAAAGAAAAGGAATCCAATGAGACCAATCTTTTCCTTACACTTAGAAACCTGGCTCTCTTTACTGCTGCTGCTCTTGATGAACATCCGAGTTCCCCACACCTCACAACCATTTGATCCAAAAGGGATGTTAGTTTCCCAGGCCATGGGCAAAAGAAAGCCCTCAGTCAAAAATGTGCAGATAATCTCGATGACTTCAGCCAGCTTCCTGGTGCATTTCATATCTTTAATGATTGATTAAAGGATCAATAAATACTCCAAAAAGGATTTAGATAGGTCCCTTGAATATCTTATTCATCAGACACAACTGTTCTGAATATAGTCTGGGCTACTTTAAAATCAGACTAAGCCCTAAAGACTGGGAGCAAATCCACTAGTGAAAAAACAATCACCTAGTTCTTACATCTGTGCTCTAAGTCCAGGAATGCTGACAAATAGAAAACACCATAGAAGCTCAATAAATACTTGCTAACTATACATCCAACTCTCTCCTAATGGAAGGCCCAAGTGTGGGTTTGGATACTCAGTCCTGAATGTACTTTAAAGCTTACTTTCTTAATCCACCCCCTAACATACATCCCAGACCAGTCTGCACACCATAGGGTCTCAGCAGATACTCCTTTGAGAGAAAAGGGCAATCCTCAAAACAATAGTTTCAGTCCAGCTGATGTTGTTTTTGCTTGGTAATATTTCCCAGAATCTGACCTGCCAGTTAATCATCACTTATATACACAAGTTCATGTGAAACTAAAATATATATTTTTTTCTAAACTGCTACTTATTCCCTCCACCTTTTTAACAAACAGCTCTTATCAGAACCTAGCAGATAGCCTGGGCTGACTTATATAAATAGGATTTTAAGAAGCAGTAGGATATTAAGAAAAATTCCTTCAAGAGCTGTTTTGGTTAGAAATAGTATTCTTAAATTTGACCTCTGGGCACAAGTTCTAGGTTTGCTTCCACTGCTAACCACGTCTTTTTCCCTGGATTAAGAGTTGGGGGCATGTCCTTTTGTCTCCCTGTACCACAGATTGTGTTGGCAAATTCCAAAAATAACAAACCGTCCATGTTTCCTCACAGATCTGTTCTGTGAGACTCTGCATTCCTCAGTGTTAGGCTGGCTATGGAACTGAAAGGGCCCCAAGGTGCCAATTACGGCTTTCTACCTTTATGATGCTCTTTAATTCCAAGCGATCCTGTTCTATCTTCTTTCTGGTCCTCTCCTTTTCTAGACGATCTTCAATGATGACCTGTTCATACTCCCTTAGCTGCAAAAGTAGACATTGATCATATGTTATAGGACTCTCTTGGCTGAGCTATGGCCCAGACAGCCCTGCACTTTTAATCTAAAATTTTTAAAATAAAGCATGCCAAATCTAAAGATGAACTAAAGAAAAAACTTACTGGATTCTTATATTGTAAATATTCACATATTAACTTTATAATTGTTCTCCAAATTTTTTCAGTTTGAATAATTCAAATTTGCTTTAAAATCTTTAATAAAAATGAAATACAAACTTGGTGTGTGATTAATGACGTCAAAATGATGTAATTTTTGGGCCAGCCCCATGGCTTAGCAGTTAAGTGCGCGCACTCTGCTACTGGCGGCCCAGGTTCGGATCCTGGGCGCGCACGGATGCACCACTTCTCCGACCATGCTGAGGCTGCGTCCCACATACAGCAACTAGAAGGATGTGCAACTATGACATACAACTATCTACTGGGGCTTTGGGGGAAAAAAAGGAGGAGGATTGGCAATAGATGTTAGCTCAGAGCCAGTCTTCCTCAGCAAAAAGAGGAGGATTAGCATGGATGTTAGCTCAGGGCTAATCTTCCTCACAAAAAAAAAAAATAATGTTTTTAAAAAACTGTGATAGAATATACACATACAAATAGCAGTCATCTTTTAAAAGAAAAATTTGGAAAGTTCTACATTTATTCAATGATGAAACCATAATCAGAAGCTTTTTAGAAATCATAATTTACAAATTATCTTCAGAGACCACAAAGTAGAAATAATAGTATCTATCTCAAGAGGTGGTTGGGAGAGTTAAATAAGTTACATATGTGAAATACTAGTAAACTGCCTGGGAAAGAGTAAGCACTGTATAAGTGTTAGCTGCTGCTACCATTGTCCCCATCACCGATGTCATCGTCATCATCATCATCACTGAAAAAGAATCTCTTTGGTTTATAGGCACACCTCCACTCTGTCACCAAAAACAGCATTACCCAGCTACTGTAGCTCACCTACCACCCACTCCTCAGTGCTCAGCCTTACACTCTCGAGACTGCTTCCTTACCGTCTTTGCAAGGTCTTGAAGGTGTGCTAAGTCAGTGGCCTTTGCAGATTTGAGAGCATTTAGTTCATTCTGTTTCATTTCTGTGTCCTTATCAAATTTCTCCATCCAGAACTCTAGCTTCTCCTCAAGTTTCTATTTGGAAAAGAACAGTAAAACATGGCTTCCACCAGACACAAAACAGTATATACTGTATGAAATCATTTATATAAGGTTAGAGAACAAGCAAAACTTGTCTATAGTGATAAAAGTCAGAATCGTGGTTACTTCTGGGGGGAGTGCTGGTTTATTGATTGGGAATGGGGCATGAAGGAGATTTCTAGGATGCTGTAAATGTGCTCTAGATCTCTATCTGAGTGGTGGTTACAGGAATGTATATGCATAAATATTCATCAAACTATATACTTAGTATTTGTGCCCTTTACTGTATGTGATTACTCAATTTAAAAACAGGAGGAAGAGGGCCTTCCAGGTGTCTGGATAAGAGAAGATTCGGTGAAGAGGAAAGGAATAAAGGGTGGGTAGAAAATTCTGAAGGATAAGAAATGACATCAGACATCTCCGACTGATAACAGACACTAAATACTAGTTGAGAAGGGTGCAATATCTTCAAAATTCTAAAAGATAATAAATGTGAATCTAAGATTTTATACCTAGCTAACCTAGGATTCAAATGTGAGGGAAAGAGAGACTATACCTAGTCTTTCTGAAAGAGTTTCTCAGAAATGTACTTTAGCAAAATAAAATGAAAGAGATATGTATTAGAAACGAGAGAGAAACCAGTAAACTGTATATTTAAACTATATAATATATCATACTTTTTAATAATCATAATCTGGAACTAAAATCCCAAATTAGGTGATAGAATCTAGTAGAAAGAGCACAGACAGGCTCTGAAGGCAGATTGCCTAGGTTCAACTCCAACTCTGGCACTCCAGAAGGAGGGAGAGAAGTCAAGATGGTGGCATAGGTGGACTCTGAACTCACCTCCTCCCACGGACACAGCAGACTTACTACTACTCTTGGAAAAATTACCCCTGAGAGAGAACTGGCACTCCAATAAGTTTACTTAAATTCAGTTCCCTCATCTATAATGGAAATATGTAATGGAAATATATAATAAATAATGTCAACATGGGATGTAGCAGAGGAAGAGAAGAGGTAAGTTAAAGCTTTGCCTTAATAAAGGCAAGCAAATATGGATATTAACTCTAGATTTAAGAGAAAGAACACAGTGTAGACATGTATGTTAAAATTTTAAGGGTTACCACCACAAGAACAGGATGTGTAACTTCCAAATTCCTAGAGCGTGTAGCTCAAGAATGAGACGTCAAGAGGAGCCTTTGGCGGTATATAGACATGAAATTTTAAAAAACATGATTCACAATAAATCATTCTAATTAAGTTAGAACATGTCAGTTTGGTGCAATCACGTCTTTAATATTCTAACTCTTGTTAGCACTCCTTATTTAACAAAAAGAGAATGGGCTCTGGGCAGGCAAGAGGAGCTGGCTGGAATATAATAACATCATTTGGTATTTATTGTACTTCTATTTACATTACTTTCCATTCATGGAAAATGATACTGGTTTTCCTTTTATAGTGATATAAAAATCTTAATTGAAAATAAATTGATATTGTTTAGGTGAGTAACTAGGTAGAAAACAGTAGTAACACAGGTGGTATATAGATATTACAAAACTGTGAAAGTGGTATGCAAATAACTGGAGTTTGCACTAGCGAGCAAGAAATCGAGCAGTAAAAATTCCACCAATCCAACAAAAGTCAAGAAGGAAAGACACAACTAGAAAGCTTGAAAAGTAGGGAACATAAAATAAGATGGAAAAATTAAGTACAAACAAGTGAAAAATCACAATAAAAATAAATTGGGGTAAATTCCCCTATCAAAAGAAAGAGCCTCTTATATATTTTTTTAATCTAGCTATGAACTATTTATAAAAAGCATAGCTAAAACAATATCATCAAAGCAAAAAGAAAGCAGGTTTAGCAATTAATATCTGGAAAAATAGAATTCAAGCCAAAAATAATTAAAAGACACAAAAAGGGACAATTTACACTGAAAAAAGACACAACCTATAAAGAATATATGACAATTATAAACTTTTATATTCTAATACCATATTTTGGAATATATAAAGCAAAAACTATTAGTCATATAAGAAGTTGACAGATCCACAATCATCTTAGGAGACTATCTCACTTCTCTGAAATTAGTAACTCAGGTATAGACCAAAATAAACAACAATATGAAGAATTTGACAGCTAGACTAATAGACATTTATACAACTTTGTACCTAACAGAGAATACACATTCTTTTCAAATACCCATGGAATATTCACATAACCTGAGCATATCTTAAGCCCAAATAAGAACTCAACAAATTCCAACAAGCATAAACCTTACATTTCACATTCTGAGACCACACTGGAAGACAGAGTATAAACCTTAAAGGGTTGTAAGGTTCACAGCAGGAACATCAGAGGGTTGTTGTGAGAATAGAAAGATAGCCAAGACCTCTCCAACTCCAACGACTCGGACATTTAAGAAATACCCTTTAAAATAACTCTCGGGTTAAAAAGGAAATACCAAATTATAAACTACAAATTATGATGCTTACGATTTACTTTTAAAGGCATGAAAAAGATAAGATGGATTAATGGAGGAAGGATATATAGATACGTGATAAAAGCAAGAATAATAAAATGTTAATGGTAGACTCTACAACTAGATGGTGGTATATGGGTGTTCACTGTAAAATTCTTCCAATTTTCTGTATATTTGGAAACACGCATAATAAAATGCTGAGGAAATAAATTACAAATTATTTGGAAAGGAATGACAATGTAAGCATCATGAATCAAAATCTGTAGATTATAGACAGAGTACTCAGAAAATATGTTGGTTTATATGCATTTACTAGAAAATAAAACTTGAAAATAAATGAATTGAGCATTTAAGAAACTAGACAAAGATAAGCAACATAAGCTCAAAGAAAGTACAAGATAATAATTACTCAAAGCAAAAACCAATGTGACAGGGAAAAAAAAGATTTGCTCAATAAAACCAAAAGATAGTTTCTGTGAGACCAACAAAATGGTCAAACTTTTGACAAGTCTCAGCAAGACAAAGGGAGCGAAGACATAAAATCTTAAAAATAAAGGATGAAAAAAATAACTACAGAAGTAAAGGAAAATTTTAAGTTGTAAGAGACCACAGAGCAGAGCTTTATACTAATAAATCTGAAATTAATGTTTAGATGAAATGGGTTATTTTCCAGGAAGACATGTTACCAAAAATGACTCAAAAATATTTTTAAGTGAAGACATCAATAATCATTAAAAAAATTGAGGGCCGGCTCCGTGGCTTAGCAGTTAAGTGCGCACGCTCTGCTGCTGGTGGCCGGGGTTCGGATCCCCGTCGTGCACTGATGCACCGCTTCTCCGGCCATGCTGAAGCCGCGTGCCACATACAGCAACTAGAAGGATGTGCAACTATGACACACAACTATCTACTGGGGCTTTGGGGGAAAAAATAAATAAAATAAAATTATTAAAAAAAAAAATTGAAAAGGTAGCTAAATATCTCCTTTTAAAATGCTACCAGACACGACTGTTTATGACTGTGTTGTACCAAAGTTTCAAGGAACAGAAAATAATCTATTTTCTATTTCTATTTTTAGGTTTCAGAACATAAAAAGGTGGAAAGCTTCCCAACTCAAGCTGCCAAGCTAGCAAAATTGATAGTAATACAACAAAGAAGCATCAAAAAATAAATCTATAGGTTAATCTCATTTATGAAATATATAAATACAAAATAAAACTCTAAAAATCTAATTCTATCAGTCTAGTAAAAGAATAATATATTATGACCAAGTAGGGTTTATCCCAAGAATTTAAAGATGATTCACCATCAACAAACCTATTAATATATTTTACTTTATTAACATATTAAAAGATTAAAAAACATATCTCAATGGATGAAGAAAATCCATCTCAGAAAACTAAATACTCATTCCTGATTAAAAAGGAAAAAAAAACAGCAAGATAAGATCAAAAGGAAACTTCCTTAACTAGATAAAGTTTATCAACCATAAAGCTACAGAGTAAACCTCATACAATCCCTATTTGTGCCCGTTATCAATGCACTGCCTCTCAACTCCAAATTCATCCTTCGCTGGCTGAGTTTGTGCAACTGGTGGCTTGCTGTAAGCATTTCTTTTGCCAGGTGGCACAATGTTAAGCTTTGTCAGTAGAGGGCGCTAGAAGGACATGACAGGAGAGCTTCTTTCCTTGGTTCCAGTGTGCTTCCTCGTGTTCCTGGGGCAGGTCTGACAGTGGCATGTGTGTGGGACACTCAGTGGCAGTTACTCACCAACAAGTTTTGCTGACACAACAGGAGGATTCTAGCCAAACACAGTCCACAGTTCCCAGCTTGCCAGCTTTATCCCACTAGCTGTGAAGCAGCTCTGACCCAGGGCAACAAAGCAAACATCTCTGTTTATTCCTTCCTTGGATACTGTCCTTCAGCCCTAGAATGTTCTTTAGAGATCTCTTTCATCCTTTCTTTGTAGCCAATTCCTTATTACCAGTTAATGATTCTTTTGTTAAATGTTCCCTTGGTTTCTGTCACCTATCCAGACCATAATGATACAGAATTGATACCAAAAATAGAGTTTATCTCCCACTTTCTAATTCACATATGTCTTCCTAAGGCATCTAAAATCCTTGCTATTTCCTGTTCACCAGATACCATCAACATAATTCAGTGAACTATGTTTTGTGGAAAGTCGAAACACGATGTTTTGTGGAAAGTCGAAACAAGCAACATCTCAGCAGACCACATTATGGCAGAGAACAGAACTGACACAGCCCTGACGTGAGACTGTGAGGGTGTGCTGTTGGCCCTGCCAGGTAAAAGCAAACTGCTTCTGGAGGTTTTTTCAAACTGATTTGGAGACAGGGGCTTTGGTCAGGTTAATAGCTGCCTACGAAGTGCCAGTGGCAATTGAAGATTTTCTCCGGTGAACACAGTGCATCTGGAACTGTAGCCACAATTAGAGTCCCCACCTGATCACATTTACAACAGTCCACAGTCATTCTCCAAGATCATTCAA